TGCTATGCCAAAAACCAGTGTCGCCAGTCCCCGTGTGCCGGTGTCCCCAGTGCCGGTGTCCCCAGTGCCGGTGTCCCCATGTACCGGTGTCCCCAGTGCCGGTGTCCCCATGTACTGGTGTCCCCAGTGCCAGTGTCCCCAGTGCTGGTGTCTCTATGCAGGCGAGCGGTGCGGAGCAGCAGTGCCCTGGCACTACCGGGGTGCCCATCACCGCAGCTGTGTCCCCCGCTGTCCCCAGGTCCCCGCGCCCCCGCTGCCTGCCTTCCCTGCCACCGAGGAGGACGATGGCGCCGAGGCTGAGCCAGACACACGGGCCATGGTGCGGGCCCAGAACCAGAAGAAGAAGAAATCTGGGGGGTTCCAGTCGATGGGTACGTGTGGGGTGGGGGACAGCGATGCCGGGACGGGGACTGTCCCCTCCTGCCCGCACCCCCTCACCTGTCCCTGTCCCCGCAGGCCTCAGCTACCCCGTCTTCAAGGGCATCATGAAGAAGGGCTACAAGGTGCCCACCCCCATCCAGAGGAAAGTGAGTGTAGGGGATGGTGGGACCCCTGCCCTGGGGTGGCGGGACGGTGATGGTGACGGTGACGTGGTGTCTCACAGAGCATCCCTGCCATCCTGCGTGGTCGGGACGTGGTGGCGATGGCGCGGACGGGCAGCGGGAAGACGGCCTGCTTCCTCATCCCCATGTTCGAGCGGCTGAAGGCGCCCAGCCAGGCCGGGGCACGCGCCCTCGTCCTCTCGCCCACCCGCGAGCTGGCCCTGCAGACCCTGAAGTTCACCAAAGAGGTACAGGGGACAACGGGGATAATGGGGGCGAGTGGGGACAACGGGGGTGAGTGGGGACAACGGAGGTGAGGCGTTTGGTTTTATCCCCCCTGCCAACATGTTTCTTTCTCACCCCACAGCTGGGCAAGTTCACAGGCTTGAAGACGGCCCTCATCCTGGGAGGAGACAAGTAAGCCATCCCCACGTCCCCACCGGTCCCCCCTTCCCTAACGCCTCCCCAAAACCTGGCAAGGGGCTGAGCTGCCCCGTGTTGACGGTGCCGCCCCAGCCTCTCCCTCCTCTCGCAGGATGGAGGACCAGTTTGCCGCCCTGCATGAGAACCCTGACATGTAAGTGGGGACATGGCCCCCGAAAGCCACCCACCATCTGGTGACATCACTGGTGTTTGCACAGCTGGTGGATGTATCCTGGTGTTCCTTTGGAGCACCTGTCTGTGCTCCCCGCGGGGGACAAGGGGGTCTCTTTTGGGTCGTCTTTGATTTGGGACCCGTATCTGGGATGGTGTGGGGATGCCATCCCCCCAGTGTGGTCCTGTCACCAGCTCTGTCCCCGCAGAATCATCGCCACCCCTGGGCGCCTGGTGCACGTGGCGGTGGAGATGAAACTGAAGCTGCACACCGTGGAGTATGTGGTGTTCGACGAGGCTGACAGGTCAGCAGGGTGCAGGGGGGTCCCCTGGGGTCCCTGGGGCCAACACGTGTCCCCACACGTGGGGGTGAGTGATGGTGGGAGTGAGGTGCCCTGGGGTTGGGCAGGGAGGGACCAAACAGGCGCTCCCACGTCCTGTGTCCCCTCCCCTGCAGGCTCTTCGAGATGGGCTTCGCTGAGCAGCTCCAGGAGATCATCGCCCGGCTCCCCGACTGCCACCAGACCGTCCTCTTCTCCGCCACGCTGCCCAAGCTGCTTGTCGAGTTTGCCCGGGCTGGTGAGGAGCGTGGGGCGGATGGTGGCTGGTGGGAGCTGGACCTGGGAGGAACCTGGGGGACGTGGCATGGTCCTGCAGTTGGGCTTGGCCCAGGATTGGCAAAACCGAGCTGGATTAATGCTGGGCCAAGCGGGTGTCCCCGAGCCGAGGGGTGGGGCTGGTCCCAGTAGGACATCCCATGTGCGACCCACGTCCCACGTGTCGCCACGTCCCACAGGTCTCACCGAGCCGATGCTGATCCGCCTGGATGTGGAGTCCAAGCTCAGCGAGCAGCTCAAGGTGAGAGGCTCCGGGGGCTCCTGCGGTGGCTCCAGGCTCGTGAGGAGGGGACAAGGGGTGGCGATGTCTGGTGTGGGGATGCGGAGGGGCTGAGCTCTGCCCTCCCTTTACAGCTGGCTTTCTTCCATGTGCGTGGGGACGACAAACCTGCCCTCCTGCTCCACCTGCTCCGGAGCGTGGTGAAGCCCCAGGACCAGACAGTCGTCTTCGTGGCCACCAAGCACCACACGGAGTATCTCAAGGAGGCAAGTGACATTTGGGGGTGCCCAGCGTGTACCCCTGTTAAAGAGCAGGCTGCCGGCGGTACCCGATACCCCTTTCTAGACTCACATGGGGTCTGCATCTGCGAGCACGTCCCTGCTGGAGAATCCACCTCTGTTTTGCTGGGTTGAGGAGGAATCACAGAAATCCCTCATATATGGGGAAGAAATCCCATCACGTATGTGATTGTGGAGGTGCTGCGTCCTTGGAGAGAGCGGGGAGCGCAGTGGGATTCGGGGGTCCGGGTGGGCACCCCGGGGGCCCCATCCCTTGGCTGAGGGTGCATGCCCAGCTGGGATCTGATCCCTCTTTCCTCCTCCAGTTGCTGACGGCCCAGGGCATCCGCTGCACGCACATCTACAGCTCGCTGGACCAGACCGCCCGCAAGATCAACATCGCCAAGTTCGCCCAGGGCAAGTGCCCCGTGCTGCTGGTCACCGATGTGGCCGCCCGTGGGCTCGACATCCCCATGCTGGACAACGTCATCAACTACAGCTTCCCCGCCAAGGCCAAGCTGTTCCTGCATCGCGTCGGTGGGTGCCGGTGTCCCACGCAGGGATCCTTGTGACCTGGGGGTCCCTCAGGGTGACGGGGAGGGTGTGAGTGGGCTGTCCCTTGTCCCCTGGTTTTCCCATCCCTGTGGCCTGCTGGGCTGGCGCTGATGCCCCTGACTTGGTGGTGATATCTTTGGGGCAGTCGCCGTGTTGTGACACGAGGAGAGAGGCTGGGGACAAAGCAGGGACAGGCATGTCCCTGATCTCCCAGCTGGACTGTGGGGGCTCTTGGGGGCAGGGCTTGTGTCTTCCCTGTAGGATGGCACCGGGGTGGCCTTCCCTTTGCCTCCTTGCCCGGTGACCCACAGCCCCTTGCCAGCCGTGCCTCCCCGGTAAATGTCACGTGCGTGGGCTCCCAGGGGCAGAGGTGGGTCCCTGGCTGGGTGGGGGCAGGCTGGGTCTGCTTTCTCACTCTCCTCCCCTTGCCAGGTCGTGTGGCCCGAGCTGGCCGGAGCGGCACTGCCTACTCATTGGTGGCTCCTGATGAGATGGCCTACGTGTTTGACCTCCATCTCTTCCTGGGGCGCCCGCTCGTCCTCGCCGGTGCCCAGGAGATGCCTGCTGGTAAGGCAGACCCGGTCGCAGGCATCGGGGTGGCGGCATATCCCCCCGAGCTGGGATGCTGGCCACGTGGCCACTGGGTTTTTATCCTTGGCCAGCGCTGGAGTTCGTGGTCTCGTGGTTGACGTTTGTGCAGAGGGGTGACACGCTGTCATTACTGGGGTGCAGCTGGGGAAAATGGGGCGCTGGGGGCTCTGACACACCCTGTGTGTTGGGGATGCTGATTTAACCCCACCGAGCTCCCCGTGACTGTTTGCTCTGTTAAATCCTGGATCGCTGCTGTGCCCGCTGTGACGATCCCAGGGTGGGTGCCAGCGAGGTGACACGGTGTCCCCTGGGCTGCAGATGCCGGCGGGGTCCTGGGCCGTGTCCCCCAGAGCCTGGTGGACGATGAGGAGTGCCTGCTGCTGACGGACCACGAGGGCTCACTGGAGCTGCGCAGCTTGCGCCGCGTCGCTGACAACGCCTACAAGCAGTACCTGCGGTCCCGACCCGGCCCCTCGCCCGAGTCCATCAAGAGGGCGAAGGACCTGGACGTGTCCCAGCTGGGCATCCACCCGCTCTTCAGTGAGTGCCTCGGGGACACCGAGGGAGGGGACCCCGTCCCCCTCACCGAGGAGCTGACCTGTGCCCCTCTCCGTGCCTGCCTTCCCCAGGTGCTCGCTTTGAAGACACCGAGCTGGAGAGGCTGAAGTTCGTGGACAGTATTAAAAGCTACAAGTCCAAGGCGGTGAGTTGAGACCTTGGGCACGAGGCGCCCGGGTTGGGGTGGGGAGGGACGGTCCGTGCGGCCGGCCGGCCACGCAGCTCACCGGGGCTCACGCTCACGTCCCGGGAACAGACCATCTTCGAGATCAACGCCACATCCCGGACGCTGGCCAGCACCGTCATGCGGTCGAAGCGGCGCCATGACCATGCCCTCATCGAGAAGTTCCAGCGCGGGCAGCAGGAGAAGCGGGCAGCGGCTCTCAAAGGGCAGGGACTGTGTCCGGACACCCCCGGGCCCAAGGAGGAAGAAGGAGAGGAGGAAAACCTCCAGGTAACGGGGTGGGAATGGGGGATTTACCGTGGCCATGGGAGCTGCTGCAAAGCGGCCTTGGCTGGGTGCTGGTGGCACCAGGGCCCCCAGGCTGTGCCAGGATTCGGGGGCCAGTGCAGTGAGTGGTGGGGGAAACACGGCTCCTCCGACCCCTCTGCTATCTCCTTCCAGGACGTGTTCTCCAACGTGGTGGGTCAGAAGCGAAAACGGGACCGAGGGGGAGAAGAAGGTGCCAGGAAAAAGCCACAGCAGCCAGTGCAGCGGGACGAGGTCCCGCCGCGGCGAAGGGAGTGTGAGAGGGGGGGGGGTGGAGTGGGGGGGGCCCCCTGCCGCTGTCCTGTCCCGGCCTGCACGGGGGGCTTCTCTCATCACCCACCCTTTGCAGGCTGAGTGTGGGCGGCGAGGGCAGCGCCTTCGAGCAGCAAGCGGCCGGAGCCGTCCTGGATCTCATGGGTGACGAAAACCACAACCTCAACAAGAGCAAGCAACTGCTGAAGTGGTGAGTGGGGTCTGGCCGTGGGCTGGGGGGCGAATCGGGGCTGAGGGTCCCACCGCACGGTCCCATGGCCCTCCCCTCTCTCCCAGGGACCGTAAGAAGAAGCGGTTTGTGGGGCAGACGGGCCAAGAGGACAAGAAGAAGGTGCGGACGGAGAGCGGGCGCTACATCAGCA